GCAGAGCTAGGCCGCTCACCTAAGTCTGTAAGCAAGAAATTCAGCCAACGAAGCTCCTGTGCCACCATGGCATCAGCGTAGATCTCAGCCTCATAGCTAGACTGTGCGACAGACGACAAGAGGGTGGACCTCCACAAGATGGCACCTGCAACAAGGCTTAGCATCTCAGCGTCGTCCGCCCACGAAGCGTCTATGTGCCCTGTAAGGACAACTGGATTGCATCCTCTTAGCACTCCTAGCACTAGCCCCATGCCCGATGTACTTGCTAGATGACGCAAAACCCTCTTAGCGGCCGACTAGTGCTGTGGTCGGTGTCTGTGAGAGGATGAGACTTGACGTATCCTCGAGCACATCCAATATCTTATTTGCTATATATCATGTGTTCGTTTGTGTGTTATTTCTTTCTTGGAAATCCCTACACTCTTCCCCTATACAATGATATAATATATATCATATGTGTTACAGAGTGTTTCAGACTTTTCTTGTGTGACACATTTTTAGTTGCGTTGAGTGTTCCGTCACCGTCACCATATCTCTAGAATCCCTACCATGCTTCTAGGTGGTGTTCTTACGGATGGATCCACTCATTTCTAGAACTCTCTTAGAAGGTCCTAGTTACCCTTCCTTAGAGTTCTTGTAGGAATAAATACTGTAGCTTTGACTCGTTTCTTGAGACATTCAATTCTTCATTCAATTCTTGATTAGTATCATTCAAGCTTCCGCTAAATCCTGGACCTATGACAATGTCGGCCTGTAGCCACAAAGCGAGCCAGGATGCTGAGAGGGTATGCCAGATCTGGACGAGTGCAAGTCATCAGGTACATGAGGCAACCCACGAGCTCTGCGTAAGGACCACTAGGCTCTACAGACTCCGCAGGGACTGGAGTCGAGAGCGTGTGATCTACTGGCAGAGGTGTGGGCTGTGCGGAGGAGAACTGAAGGCCGAACGTCTAAAGGACGTGACGCACCAAGTATGAGTATGTAAGAGTGATGGTGCACGCTGCTCTGTCCCTAGAGATCTGCAGGCCAAGGTAGCAGCACATCTCTCCTAGGTCAATGCAGGTGTGTCTCCTCAACAGCTCAGCCTTCACGGAGGCCATTGCGTCTCTGTCTGCAGTACCAAAGACCTGGTCGTCTATGTAGACAAGGATGCAAAACGAGGTCTGGCGTGAACGAATGAAGAGAGAAGGGTCTGCAAACGACGGGAAGAACTGCACGTCGGCTAACATAGCACGCAACATGTCGTGCCACTCACGGGGCGCCTGCCATAGGCCGTAAACCGGGCACCGGAGAAGGCACTCGGTCCCACGGGTGAAGGTGCCGGTGAAGCCTGGCGGACGGCGTAGGTAGACCTGCTCGTGCAAACTGCCCTGGAGAAACGCTCTAGAGAAGTCAAGGGAGTGCAGCTCATAGTCACGCTGTGCTGCTACGTGTAGCAGCACTCGAAGAGTGGGCATCTTCGGGGTCGGGGCGAAGGTCTGAAAGAAGTCAACACCCTCGCGCTGACTGAAGCCTCTAGCAACGTAGCGCATCTTGAATATCGGTGGCTCTCCAGGAGGGCGCTTCACCTTGAAGAGCCACCGGCCATCTACTACGTTCACCCAAGGTGGGGGAACTGCATCGACGTAGGTGCCGGTGGATCTCCAAGATGCCATCTCCGTGTCCATGGCAACTATCCACAAAGAGGACCAAGGTCCCGAGTTCGCCTCAGCGTAAGTGCGAGGGGTCAGGATGTCAAGGGCATCTGGGTCAACCTCAGGGACTAGCAGCATGGAGCAGAGATGGGGAGCGGCCTCGGACAGGAAAGCTAGCTCGTACTGCCTGCCCTCTAGGATGACAATGCCAAGGACAGGTGCCCCCCGACGAACGGAGGACGGGCAGGGTCAGAGACCAGAGCGGTGGCGTAGTCAAGGCGGTTGGTAGAGGCAAATCCGGCGGCAGCAGCAACAAGAGTGGCAAGACTGGAAACAGGAACAGACAGGTAAGTAACAAGAGAGGTGAGAACGCGAGGAACAAGCGGACTAGCAACATGGAGGAAGTCAGAGAGAGGAGGCGGAGAGACCACAAGCGACGACTGAGGAGGCGACGGTAGAAGAGGAGCACGAGATGCGTGAGAGCGGAGCAACATAGGGTGAGAGCACTGGACAGGAGAATCAGAATGAGCACGAGAGGCACGGTGAGACCACCCGCGGGAGGGGGGTTTCGGGTTAGGAGACAAGGGAGGAGACACAGGAGGAGAATAAGGGGGGAAACGAGCCGAGGACGAGTCCGGCGGAGGAAACACAGGGCCGTAGACAGGCGGGGGAGGTGGCGACAGGGGAGGCGCAGGCGGGCGGTCCGGGTAGGGAAGGCCCAGGAGGCAAAGGGCGGACACCAGCGGCGACTGCTGCTGCTGCTCCATGCCGACGCCAAAACCTGAAACCGCACCAAGGTTACCTACGGGATGCTCCACGACAGCACCCCCAAAACAAGAACCCTCTTCAGCACCGGTGCCATCCCCAAGACCGTCGGGACAAGCCACGATAGTACCCCCAGGACTAGCACCCTCCTCAACGCCCGCACCCCCAGAGCTCGCGGACCCCTGCGGCTGTTGCGGCGGTGACGGCGGCTACTGCAGCAGCTCGATGGCGGCGACTACGGCTGCTACAGCGGCAGCAACAAAAGCTGCTGCTGCGGCGGTGATGGTGGCTACTGCAGCAGCTCGATGGCGACGACTACGGCTGCTGCAGCGGCGGCAACAGCAGCTGCTGCTGCGGCGGCGAAGGAGAAGATGCCGGGGCAGAGACATGTGGCAAAGCTGGAGCCGCAGGGCCGCCTGAGTGAGCCGACTCCTCCACCGGGACAACCGACGGGAGGGTGGTGACGTGAGACACACCAGACGGGGCAGGACGGGGAGGGAGAAGAGAAGGGGCTATTGGGGGAGTGGGGACCAGGAACAAGGGTGGGGTAACCGGGAGACCTTGGTGGGTAAAACGGGTGTAGAAGGAGACAAACTCGTCAAAAGTGACGTCACGAGAGTGAAAAAAACGGTGAGACGGCGGGTGGTAAAAGTGCCAGTCAGACGCGTCGTGGGGGAAGCCAAGGAAGATGCAGGGGACAGTGCGGGCAGTGAGCTTGTACGTGCCAGAGGCACGAACGTGAGCAAGGCAGCCATAGACGTGGAACGCAGACGCATCACCAGGGGACCTGGTCCAAAGGAGGGTCGGCAAAACATGCGGCCGCTGGGAGTGTGGTGACAGGTTAAGCTGGTGAGCGGCGTAGCGAACCGCGAACATCCACAGAAAATGGGGTGCACCAGCATGGATCGTGGAGGTACGATCCACCTCCATGACCAAACCGATGCGTCGCTCAACGACCCCATTCTGCTGCGGGGAGTCCAGTAGGTTGTACGACTGGGTGATGCCCTGCACACGACAGAACTGACGAAGCTGACCGGAGGTGAACTCGCTGCCACGGTCGGAGTGAAGACGCAGCACAGGGAGGCCGCGGTGGACTCGCGCAGCTATGACCCACGGGATAAGAACGTCAGGCACATCGGCCTTCCGCTCCAGGGGAAACATCGTGATGTAGCACGTGTAGTCGTCGACAAGCACAAGAAAGCAGCGCTCGCAACGCGGGCCAGGGACGAGGGCTGGGCCTCAAACGTCCAGGTGCAGGGTCTGAAGTGGCGCAGTGGTAGGGGGAAGCGAACTTCGCGGGCCTAGTGTCGCTGCTGTAGCTCGCGCAGGAGAAATTACCGTAGCTGTATGTGCTTCGCTCTGCCCTCCTGTCGAGGCTCCTGACACAAGAGGATCATGGCCTTGTTGTCAACGTACAGGACCGGGGCAGAGCTCGGCCGCTCACCCTGTTGACTCGTTGCTTGAGAGATTCAATTCTTCATTCAGTTCTTGATTAGGATCATTCAAGCTTTCGCTAAATCCTAGACCTATGACACTGTCTGCCTGTAGCCACAAAGGGAGCCAGGAAGTTAAGAGGGTATGCCAGATCTGGACGAGTGCAAGTCATCTGGGCCACGAGTAGTTCTCGACAAGCACAAGAAAGTAGCGCTTGCGACGCGGGCCAGAGACGGGGGCTGGGCCCCAAACGTCCTGGTGCAGGGTCTGAAGTGGCGCAGTGGTAGGGGGAAGCGAGGAGGAGTGAGGAGCACGGCGCAGCTGGCCCTCGACGCTGGGCGTGCACGGCGGCGTAGGCGACGGAAGGAGAGCAGGGAGTGACGCAGGGAGACCTAAGACAAGAGTGTGCTGGGTCATGTGACACAGACATGGGAGTGCAGGGTAACCTAGGCGGTGGTGCCACAGAAGGGACGGGTGAGTGAACGACCGACAGGAGCAAGCTGCAGCGATCTGGGAGGGTGCAGCCACCTGGGGAGACGCCCCCACCGGAGGGTACGCAGTGTCAAGCGTAATCACTGTTTTCGCCCCTAACACGTGCTCAATTTCACTGCAGCAAAGAGCCCCTGTTTTATGTTGCATGCATGCGGCTGACACCTGCTGTGGGCAGTGCGGCGGCTACAAGCTCGCCCTCGCATTTCCTCAAGTCCAACATCTCCAAGGTCTTTGAGGGTTTTGGAGGGGCGACCAGCATCAACCTCTCCAGTCCGCCCTCTGTAAGTGCCCTGGCCACCGCTAGTAGGCTTTGAGCTGACTCAAAGCACTGCGGCGACCACGGCCCAGCCCGCCCTCTGGCAGAGGGGGTTAGAGTAAATGGTGGCGCCCCGGCCCTGCCCCCTCCTCTCCCCCCTCCCCTCTTGTTAGGATTAAGGACAGAGTCTAGGTGAACTTAGGAGCTAGAATTACTCAAAATATAAATCCGAAATTCTGGACAGAAAAGTCGTCTTCACAAGAAACGACGTCGACAAAACACTAGCCGTTGGAATGTCGCGAAACTTGGATATGTTGTAGCTCTTGATCTCAGCTACCGTTCCCAATTTGAATCACGTTGATTGATGAAGTATTCGCGACGCTATGGCTTTCGACGCACTAGGGGGTAAGCTGTAGGAGGAGAACTTAACTCAATCTCAAGAGTTCAATCAAAGTTCAAGAATCTCACAAGGAATTAGAAGGAGCAAGAGAAAGGTTGGGATAGGAAGAGAAGGATGAGAGGGAAGGTCCCAAGAGAGTCCCCAACCAAGGAAACCCCATAAGCACAAAGATTCCCTCCCTATAGGAACCTCAACTTTGACCTTTGTCCCTTCCCAACCAATCCATCCAAGTTGGCCACCCTTGCCAACCTAGCTTGGTTGTTCCCAACCAATTTGCAGCTGTTACAGTAGAGTGACAAGTTTCCCCAACCCCAAAGGTCCCAACTCCATATAAAGTCACCCCACAACTTCACTTTGTAACCGCCGCAATTGTAACGCAAGCTCATGAACTTTGAATCTTCATAGCTTTCGCGTTCTTGCTCCGATTGAAGCGATTCTTGTTGCGTCGGAAAGATCTTCTCAAGATCTATCATCACAAATACCTGCTCAGACAGAATAACACAAAACACATTCCCAAACTCCAGAACACACCACACACAAATTCTTTCACACACAGTCAAACCATACATACGAATTGAAACAAGAGATGAGAGGCAGACAGAATGTGATAGCATATGATGACATCACACAACAATCTCCCCCTCTGGCTGCCAACCATCATCGACCATACCACATCTCAAGCATGCATACTCAATGCACACTCATCCCAGCAAGCTTCATGCCCTTCCAATGATCCGCCTCCGCCAGACGCTTAGTGAAAATATCTGCTGCCTGCTGATGGGTCTTCACTATCTCCAGCCGCACCTCCTTATCAAGGAGTCTCCTCACCCAATGCCACTTAGGCCTTATGTGTTTTGTCAGCCCATGCAGACAAGCATTCTTGGCCAGCTTCACTGCAGACTCATTGTCACAGAACACAACTGTCGGCTCCTCCTGACCAACTCCCAACTCCTCCAACAAACGCCTCAGCCATACCACTTCCTTGGCCCCATGGTGTAAGGCCATGTACTCAGTCTCACATGAAGTCAATCCCACCTCATTCTGCTTCTTGCTGCGCCAGCTCACAGCACCACCTCCTAGCAAGCACACATAACCCCCAATGCTGGTGCCATCCGCTTTCACTGAGTTGAAGCTAGCGTCAGTATAGCAACTCAAGAGCATCTCACCACTCTTCACATCTGCAGCACCTCTCTGCAACCGCTGCCTCACTCCACTGTACTCCAATCCCACTGATGCCGTAGCACTCACATAGCGGACCAACCTCTTGGCCGCTTCCAGCTGCTCATGACTAGGGCGTGAGACCACACTAGCCAACCGTGATGTAGAAAATGCAATGTCAGGCCGTGTATGATTTGCAGCATAATTCAGCGACCCAACCATCGAATGAAACAGCTTCCTGTCACTCTCACCCACTACCTCCTCATCAGCACATGGCTCCACAGTAAACCCTGAAGGTAGTGGTGTTGCTGGCTTTCCCCCATCTTGCAGCCCATACTTCTCAGCCAGCCCCTCACAGTACTTCCTCTGGTGCAACCTCAGCACACCCTTTTCCACATCTCTCTCCACATGCATCCCCAAGTAGTACTTCGCCTCACCCATCTTGGAGCACTTGAACTGCATCTCCAGCATCTGCTCTGCGCTGTCCAGCAAAGCAGTGGATGCAGAAAAGAGAAGGATATCATCCATATACACCAAGAGCATGAGGATTTCGTCCTTCTCCTGCAGCAGGAACAGGCTGGGGTCACACTCACTCTTCTTGAAACCCCCAGCCACCAGCGCCTCCTCCAACTTGTGATACCATGCACGAGGCGCCTGCTTAAGGCCATAGATTGCCTTCTTCAGCCTGCAGACCCTGCCGCTCCCATCATCCAGCCCCTCTGGCTGCTTCATGTACACCTCCTCCAGAATGATCCCATTCAGAAAGGCAGTCACAATGTCCATCTGCCGTATCTTCCATCCCAGGAGTGCAGCTATCGCCAACAGCACCCTCAGTGTTGTTCCTTTCCCCACAGGAGCAAATACCTCATCATAGTCCTTCCCTTTTGTCTGCTGAAACCCCCGTGCCACAAGCCTAGACTTGTATCGGGTCAGCTCCCCTTCAGGTCCATACTTGTGCCTGTAGATCATCTTGGAAGTGATTGCCTTCTTTCCAGGAGGCAAGTCACACAGGTCCCATGTCTCGTTCTCAATCAGGGACCCAAACTCCTCATCCTCACTCGCCTTCCACTTCTCCCCATTTGGTCCATTCAAGGCCTCCTCTCGAGTCTTGGGCTCAGGGATTGGTGCCCAGTAGCAGTGAGCGATCTCATCTTCCTCAATCTGCTCAACCACACTCCCAGCCTGCACCACATTCGGCTTGCCTCTTCCCCCATAGGTCAGCCTCACCGGAGGGCGCACATCCCTCCTAGGTCGCTCAGGCGGGTGTGGAACTCGAGATGGAGACTCATGCTGCTGCTGCTGCTGCTGCTCTACTTCAGCTGCTCCCCCTTCCTCAGTCACCCCAGACATCTCCTCCTCTGACACTGCAACCTCTACCTGTCTTGAAGGCCGCTGCACCTCATCCGCCTCCACAATGAGCGGTGTAGATGGAAGCTTCTGTTGCTGCTGCTTCCATTCCTTGTAGTACAGGGACTCAAGAAACTTCACATCCCTTGACACTGTCAACTTCTGGGTGGTCAAGTCCCATAGCAGCCACCCCTTGTGATCCTTTGCAATCCCCAAGTGCACACCCCATCTTCCAGAAGCCTCCAACTTCCCCCTTTTCTCCTTAGGCACATGAAACACTACCATGCACCCAAATGCCCTCAGCATATTCACAGCTGGAGCACTCCCATACCACTTGACATATGGGATCCACTCCTTATCTCCAACTGTAGCCAGCACCCTGTTCTTCACAAGGGCGACCTGCCTCAGTGCAGACACCCAAAACGGATCAGGCAGCCCTGCACGCCCAAGGAGAGTGCGTGCCCCCTCCTGCAGGGTCCTGTTGAACCTCTCAGCCACGCCATTCTGCTGCGGGTTGTAGGGCACTGTCAGTTGATGTTGGATCCCCTTCCTCTTCAACTCCCCCTCAAAATCAGCTCCAATGAACTCCCCACCATTGTCACTACGGATCACCTTCACCTTGTGTCCGCATTCCCTCTGAGCTCTCGGCATCCACTCCTTAAGGACAGCCGCTGCCACCTCCCCCTTGCTCTTCAAAGGGTAAACCCACACTGCCCGAGTGTGGTCATCCACAATTGTCAAGAAATAGCGGCTACCTGAGAGGGAAGGGGCTCTTGTGGGCCCCACCACATCCATGTGCACAAGTGCAAGTGGGGTCTTGGCTGGTCCTGTAGTGCTGTTGAAGGGGAACTTGGAGAACTTGGTCTCCAAGCATGTAGGGCAGCTCCCAATCTCCTTCACTCCCCCTTTCACCTCCAAGCCCTTCAGGCTCCCATCCTTCACCAACTTCTGCAGCATAGGGAAGTTCACATGACACAGCCTCTCATGCCATGTCTCCCAATCGGCCTCTCCACTCTTTGATGAAGCCTTAGCCCATGCCGCACTCGCATCCACACCAGCAAGCACCTCACCATGTGTCTGCTGCTGCTGCACTTTCTTGACTGCTTCCAGGACCCCATCAGTTGGTGCAGTTGCATCTCCTCCTGCTGTTGCCTTTGCCACTGCTGCCGTTGCTGCTGTTGGAGTCTTCCCATTCCATGGGATGATGGGCAGCTGCCACAGGTCCTTGATGCAGCTGGTCTCCTCTTCCAGACTCCACAGCACCTTCTTCCCAAGCTTAGCACGGCAGCTGGTTGGTCCAAAGGTCACTTCGGCCTTGCTCTTCTGCAGTCGTCGCACAGAGAGAAGGTTAGCAGACAAGCCTTCAACCAGCAGAACATTCCCAAGCCCCACAAGCTCCCCATTAGCTCCCTTAACCTTGGCATTTCCAACACCAATCACAGGGAGCAAAGCACCTGACGCTGCTGCCACATACTTGATCTTCCCAGGGGGTTTTACCTCATCAAGCAAATCTGCCCGTGGGGTCATGTGACTGGTGCAACCCGAATCAATCACCCAGTGCGTGAGAGGGTGCATCACAACCTTTCCCACAGATCCCACATCACCCTCATGCCCATGCACATCCTCAACCATAAGAAACAAACCAGGATAGGCATTACCTTGTGCACCTTCACCTTGTGCACCTGAGCCTTGCACAGCGCCACCTTGTGCGCGTTCACCACTGGGCGGCTTCATGCCTGGAGGTGCCCATCCCTCCGGCTTGCTGAAGCACTTGAACCAAGGATGCCCGACCTTCTTGCAGTACCAGCAGGTGCCCTCCATTCTGGTACTCCCCCTGCCACTGGAGCTCCCATGCCCCTCATTATAGTCACCTCGGCCTCTACCTCTGCCAAAGCTCCTCCCACGGCCTCGGCCTCTCCAACCCCCTCTTCCTCTGCCGCGCCTTGCAGCTCCATACCCCTCAGCAGTCTTAGTGGCAGCACCGCCTCCCACATGGCGTCTGCGGAAGTCCTCCTGCAGAATCTGCTGCCTTAGCCACTCAGGTGTCCATTGATCTTGCTGAGAGTTGAGGGTGGGGATGAGGTTGTCCCAAGAGTTGTCCAACACCGAGATGATCTTGGTGCACTGCTGCAGCTGAGATACACTGCTGCCCGCTGCTGCCATCGTTGCATAGGTGTCCTTGATCTTGTCAAGGACCGGCTTCACATCATCCCCTGGTCGCATGGAGATGGCAGCAAGTTCCTTCTCGAGCACGATCACCATTGGGAGAGTGTTGGGCTGAATCACATCACGTAGTAGTTTCCACGCCCTTGGACCCGAATCATCCGCTTCCACAAGATCCTTGATGTGCTCGAACATCTCCTTGTTGACCGATTGAAGGATGAGGTCGAAAAGCACCGCGCTTTTCTCAATCCACCGTTCACGTGCTTCGCCTTCTTCCGGCATCTTCTCCTCCCCAACAGCAATCTTCAGTAGCTTGTAGCGTTTGAAGGCACTCCTCATCCGCCCGCTCCATTCCTCATAGTTGGAGCCATCCAAAGCTTCAACTTTTGATGGCGGCGGCTCACTTGTCTTCTCAGCTACAGCTCCTCTTCCATTAGCATCTCCTCCTCTCTCATTCATCTTCTCCTTGAGAAATGACGAATTTCAGCTCCCCTTTGCTGTCCACACTCAGCTCCCTCGATATTTTCACAAGTGTCGGCGTCCACGAAATTTCGGCAGAGTTTCCCCTTAGCGGAAGACACATCCAACCTTTAGAACACCACTTAGGCACACCCACAGGCCATGGTGGGTCTAGAAGGGTCTTCACACTTCTGTAGACTCCTCTCAATGTCCTTAATATGGCTCTGATACCACTTGTTAGGATTAAGGACAGAGTCTAGGTGAACTTAGGAGCTAGAATTACTCAAAATATAAATCCGAAATTCTGGACAGAAAAGTCGTCTTCACAAGAAACGACGTCGACAAAACACTAGCCGTTGGAATGTCGCGAAACTTGGATATGTTGTAGCTCTTGATCTCAGCTACCGTTCCCAATTTGAATCACGTTGATTGATGAAGTATTCGCGACGCTATGGCTTTCGACGCACTAGGGGGTAAGCTGTAGGAGGAGAACTTAACTCAATCTCAAGAGTTCAATCAAAGTTCAAGAATCTCACAAGGAATTAGAAGGAGCAAGAGAAAGGTTGGGATAGGAAGAGAAGGATGAGAGGGAAGGTCCCAAGAGAGTCCCCAACCAAGGAAACCCCATAAGCACAAAGATTCCCTCCCTATAGGAACCTCAACTTTGACCTTTGTCCCTTCCCAACCAATCCATCCAAGTTGGCCACCCTTGCCAACCTAGCTTGGTTGTTCCCAACCAATTTGCAGCTGTTACAGTAGAGTGACAAGTTTCCCCAACCCCAAAGGTCCCAACTCCATATAAAGTCACCCCACAACTTCACTTTGTAACCGCCGCAATTGTAACGCAAGCTCATGAACTTTGAATCTTCATAGCTTTCGCGTTCTTGCTCCGATTGAAGCGATTCTTGTTGCGTCGGAAAGATCTTCTCAAGATCTATCATCACAAATACCTGCTCAGACAGAATAACACAAAACACATTCCCAAACTCCAGAACACACCACACACAAATTATTTCACACACAGTCAAACCATACATACGAATTGAAACAAGAGATGAGAGGCAGACAGAATGTGATAGCATATGATGACATCACACAACACCTCTCTCCCCCCCCCCCCACCGTTTTCTATAATGGCCTTCCCCTCCCACACTTCCTTCTTCTCCCCTCCCCCTCTCTCCCATTCCTCCCACCTCTTCCCTTCCCCCGACATTTTCAAGTTTCTTCCCTCGTCTTTTCTCATTCTCTCCCTCTCCTCTTCCTCTCTTCTTTGCATCCAGACATGCGAAGTTGCTCATTGCTGCTTGAAATGGTTATGTGCGCAACCAAGTGTTACCCAGGTGAGTACTCCTACTACATCACCTCATCTCCCCGGGAGAGGAGCCCTCCTTCTCCCTCCTACCCCTTTCTTGTGTCCACCTTCCTCTCGCTTCTGCTTAAAATGGTTATGTGAGCAGCCAATTTTGACCCAAGTACCACCTCCTCTCTCTCCCCCTCTCTTTCTCTCGATCGTTGCATCTAATGTAATGAATATGGACACTTTATGGTTCTGGCATTGCCTTTGTTTCCTCAACATGTGTGTAAATTGCCATGTAAGACTCGGTTACTTATATGTCACACGCAGACTACGGATACTATGTAGAGAAGGCGAATGGAGGGCCCACCATCTCCATTTGCCCCGAGCTTGCAGACGACCTTAAAGTGTCCTGCTCGGGAACTCTCTGTGAGTATTACCCTATCTGTGAGTATTCCCCTCTTTGTGAATACTTATCTCTGTGAGTAATCTCGAGTCGACTTATCCCAACTGTCACCATCTACATCTGCCCCGAGCTCAGACTACCTCAAAGTGCTCTGTTTGGGAACTCTCTGTGAGTATTCCTCCCCCTTTCGCCCTTTATTGTAGAAGAAGGTCTACGTTGTCTAGTCAGTTGAATCATTCGTGTGTGCATTCACCATGCTTGCTCGTCTACCATCGTCCCTAACTATGCCAGAGCTTTTAGAGGGTCCAGGTTCCTGGTTGGGTTATGGAGGGTCTACTTCCCTCTAGTTTTGAGGTGCCTCAAAACTAGCTTCTAGTTGGTCAGGGTTCTGTTCAGGTTTTGGAGGTTCTAATCTGTTCTCCTGATGACCCCCTCTCCCCTCCCAATGAGTTCTTCCTATCTTGGACTCCGTTCCCTTTGCTCTCCCATTCATATTTTGAGTTGAATCAAAAGACTCCTTTAGGTTAGGGTTTCTTGTCAGGTTTTGGAGGGTCTAATTCCCTCTCCTGATGACTCCCTCTCCCCTCTGAATGATTTCTTCTTTTCAATTCATCCCTTATCTTTGCTCTCCCATCTCCCTCTCCCCTCCTATCGCTTTTCCCTCCTCTCCTCTCCTCCCTACTCCTCTCCACTCCTCTCCACTCCTCTCCACTCCTCTCCATTCCTCTCCACTCCTCTCCACTCCTCTCCATTCCTCTCCACTCCTCTCCACTCCTCTCCTCTCCTCTCTTCTCCTCGCCCCCATTAGTTGGTCAGAAGATCAGCGTTCCAAGGTTGTTTGAATTCACCAACCAGATTGTCATGGCTATAGGCAGAAATCCCTTTGGCATACCTGGCTTCACAGGTGAAGTTTCTTTGTGGCAGGAGGTGAGCTTGATCTGTCTCGAAACGCCCCTCTCTTTCTCTCACTCCTCCATCGCCTCTCTTCCTTGTCCCTTACGTCCCTCAAACCATCTCTCCCTACATATATCTCTCCCTCTCTCTCTCCCTCTCTCTCTCCCTCTCTCTCTCCCTCACTCCCTTCCCCCCCTCCCTCTCCCTCCGTCCCTCCCTCCCTCCCTGGCTTTTTGCCCCATTCATGCATTGTTTTTAGCAAGGTTTTTTAAGTCAAGTGTACGTGTCGATGTAGTATAATGGTCAGTATCTCCGCCTGTCACGCGGAAGATCCGGGTTCGATCCCCGGCATCGGCGTGCTCCTGTTGTCACTCTCATCCTTTTCACAGCAGCATTCCGTTTTCCTTCCCGTTGAGCCCTCATCATTCCCACTGGCGCTGCAGAGTAGAGTTATGAGGCTTCAAATCACCTCCTTATGGCCTCCCCCAGGCCTCTCCCTTCTGTCAGTCAGACTTTTTATTCCCCCTCTTTTGAGGGGCCTCAAAATCACACGGGCTCCCTCAATCCCCCCTCTTTTGAGGGGCCTCAAAATCACATGGGCTCCCTCAATCCCCCCTCTTTGAGGCGCCTCAGAAGTCATTTTTCCTGCCAGTCTTTTCTTAACACGGCCTGCTGCTACTCTTCCATGACAACTGGTTCAAGTCACAACCTTCTGTCCTCCCTCAGACCTCCCTTCCTCACCCTCAGGCCTCCCTTCCTCACCCTCAGGCCTCCTTCCTCACCCTCAGGCCTCCCTTCCTCACCCTCAGGCCTCCCTTCTTCACCCTCAGGCCTCCCTCATCTGTCAGACTCATGACATGGGCTCCCTTGATCCCCCCTCTCAGCTGGCCTAGAAGCTCTTCCAGCTAGAGAAAGACCAGATATTCCCTTGCGATTCTCAACCGGATCTCCCTTGACCCTAAATCACGAACCATGACTGCTTAGTCGCTTGCTACTGGTGCCTTGGTCACTTCATCTAACTTGTTCATTGTCAGAGTTGCTGATCAATAATGAAAGTGAGATAAAAGACAATACATTGAAGGTAAGAATTTAGAAGACACCACGGTGTCTTGTTTTGGGTGTGGGTGTAAGTTCTGTTCCCCTATGTCCTCGCAATTTGGTTAGTCCCTTGACTGATGTTACTCACGAAGGCAAATAAAAGCTTTTTGCTTCTTCTTTTTTGGTATGACTAGGACGTAAGAGTTTCCAGCCAGGTGTCAGTGGACTTTGTTCTAACCAGGAATCTTGAGAAAAAAACAAAACTCGCTTCTCCCTTCCCATACCCTTGAGTACTTCCTGTATCTGATTTGCCTCTCCCTTCTCCCACTCCCCCTCCCTACCCTTGTCTCCCTCCTCTCCTACTGGGTATGAGGACCGGCGGTGTTCCAACCTCTTATAACTACATGCACAAGGTTATGACGGCCATTGGCAGAGAGATCTTCAATATCACCACCTTCACTGGTGGTGATAGATATTCCAAAAATAAGGATCTGGTGAGATCCCCGAGGGAGGAAAGGCATGTAGTAGAGGTACAATATGGTCAAGAAATCCATATATCAATCGGTAGCCCAAGTCCTCTATCTCTCTCTCCCCCTCTCTTTCTCTCTTCTCTCGTTCACTCTCTCAAGCGATCCATATATTGATAGATTCTTAGGTAGAAGCTAAGCAGGCACGGCAGTTGAGGTGAGTGAGTACAATCAATCCTCCGATCCTTGCCTCATAGGGGAGGGACACTAGGGGCTTCAACACTGGCTAGACAACCCCCTAGGCAGAGGTGTCAAAACTCAGTCACTAACTACTGAACTAAAAGGGCTTGTTACGTAGTGGGTAAGTGCGCCCATAACCCCCCAGGCTCTGCATCTGTGACCCTTCCCCGAGGATCTCAAGGGCAACCCCAGCGTGTCTCTTGACAAGGGACTCCTCTGGTGTGCCTACGGGAAGGTAGCCCACTGCACCTGCATACTGTAGGATCTCCATCTGCACCGCCTCATTGACCTTCTTCAGGTCACTGCCTGGTAGGCATGCCACTGCCTGATCCCTCTGTAGAGTCACCAACCAGCACTGACAAACCTGATGCCCCAGTTTCGCCACCTGGTAGGTCGAAGGGTGGGCCGGCATTGAACAAATTTTGAGGAATGCGACCACCTCCTACGGTACAGACACAAACACACTCTTTGTGCCTCCATCCCTCCATGTTCTATAGTGCTAATTGGGATATTCTCCAGTGCCTTATGGCTACGAGGATTCTCCGGATGGTCTCTTGGAGTCCTTTTCCAGCACAACCATGTGCTGCGACTCCTACAACCTCCACCCGTCCCAATGCCCTGCCGGCTCTCTCCCCGCCAACTTCACCACCACATATGCGGACTACCTCAACCGTTCCATCAACGCCAGGCAATGCATGGCTGCTGGGCCCCATGGGTACCCTCCACCACCTCCCCCAGACTTCAAGCCCCCCCCACCACCCATTGCCAAGCCTCCCTCCCCCCCCACCCACCTGCATGCCCCCCTCGCCCTTTATCTCAGCACTAGCCAAGCCACCCATCTCTGTGCCTACCAGTCCGCCCATGTCTGTGAATGCCCCTCCTCCCTCTGGCGTCCCTTCCTCTTCTGTTGCTCCCTTACCATCAGCTTCTGCTCCACCTGTTTCCCCCCTGCTGGTTGGGACTACTACGTCTATCATTTTCACACTCACAGCACAATGGCTTCATGCATGAGCTTTCTACAGTACGTTTGCTAAACACTGTATGGGGAGGAAGGGGGGGCAGGATGTCAACTTATATATTTTATATATAGAGTTGTGTAGGCTTGTTACGTGTTCCACAAATGACTGGATCCTACTGTCGAGGGTGCACATTATTCCACGCCCTCCTCCACCTCTGCTGGCCGCTTGATCCTCCCAATGCTGTTCCCTGATCTTGCATCCTTCCCCACTGTCGCCGACCTTGCCGCTCACCTCCACGCACTAGATGTCACAGGATCGAATGTTTAGAGGAAAAGTTGCACTATCGATTGATACAAGGCGCTTTTATACTTCCAAGGTACACCATGTTTATCCGATCCCCGCCGGCCCCGTGTGCCCCGCTGGCCCCGTTCGCCCTGCTGGCCCCGTTAGCGCCCTGCTGGCCCCGTCGAGCCCCGCTAGTCCCTTGCGCCCCGCCGGCCCCATGCGCCCCGCTAGCCCCGTTCGCCCCGCTG